TTCCTCCCCCGCCACCTCCCCGCTGCCCCCTCACTACACCACTGTTCTAGCAGGCTGTGTCTACACTGGGCCACTTATTCCGGAAAATCAGCCGCTTTTCCGGAATAAGCTGCGAGCTGTCTACACTGGCGAGCTGTCTACACTTGAATTTCCGGAAAAGCAACGATGCTCTACTGTACAAAATCAGCCGCTATTCTGGAAAAACTATTCTGCTCCCGCTCGGGCATAAGTCCTTATTCCGGAACACTGTTCCGGAAAAGGGCCAGTGTAGACAGCCCAGTATCTTTTCCGGAAAAAAGCCCCGATCGCGAAAATGGCGATCGGGGCTCTTTTCTGGAAAAGCGCATCTACATTGGCCACAGACGCTTTTCTGGAAAACAGGCTTTTCCGGAAAAGCAGCCTGTTAATGTAGACACTCCTTTTCCGGAAAAACTGAAAACAAAGTTGCTGCTGCTCCCCTCTGTAGCTCTCACTCAGGCCTGGCCCATCTCCTTCCCCCTTCTTCCTGTTTTCTGTGCTTCCAGATTCCCAACAGCCAGTGCTCCCAGTTCTAATAATTACAAGCAGCATCTAAAACACCACACAATGGCAGAACATGCTCCCACACAGCTTGTCAGCTCTTCCAGTGTGTTCAGAGGGAGGCAGGCAAAAGCCTCTCTAACCCCCACCTCCCTCCCTTCCCCCCACCATAGGAGTGGTTGTTGGCTCTGATGATCTTCATAGAGAAAGTGACACAAGCTGAGGGATTCCTATAACTTTCTCCCCATGGTGTGGGCCAGCGAGGTCTATGGAAGCCTATATATATACACATTAAACAAATCATTGTCATTTTCTAGCATACACAATTCCAAATAAATACTCACCTGGAAAAACCTGGAAAGAAACCTGTAATTTCCACCAGAAGGAAAAACGCAAACACCTGACCGAGAAGGAGGGAAAACAATCATTAATGTTCTATTTCTTCTGCTTTTTCCTTTTGCGTGAGTTATGCCAGCCTTAGGGTCTGGTCTGGAGCCCTTATTCCAGTCAAACTCCAACGCACAGAAATACTGGCACTGCTCATAATGATCTGAAATCTGAAGATTAGCCACCCACACCACATTTTCTTTTTGTCTGCTTTAATACAGTTTTAGCCCATCATATTTTTCAGCCAAGCATCTTCTTTTTTAAATTAATGTTTCATCTTTATTAATGTCACTGGTAGAAATTAGTCAAGTGATTGTCTTACCTGCATGTTAGGAGACATGCTCTGATATCCAGCAACTACCAGGGAAGAAATGTACCTCCTCTGGGAATAAGGGATAATCCAGCAGCAGGAGGAGTCTATCTCTTCTGGAATCTGACTCTGCCTTGCTGGTTTGCTTTTCTTTCACAGAAAGACTGAGCAATACAGAGGAATTTAAATCTTGACCCATTTAATCACCTCCTGGGACACAAACAGGCTGTTCCTGTAGCTGCTTGGTGTCTTAAAGTCAGAATAATATACATATAAATCAAGGCTTGACTGTGCTAACTAGGGCAGGCATTAAAATTATGGGAAGGACTCACTGAAAGAAAATTTCGTTTCTCTCCCTTTTTATTATGGTGCAACATCTTTCAGTTAAACTCTACTTTTCAGAGACTACGAGCCAGCTTTGACTTCAGTTACAAAAATGTAGAGTAACTTCAACCTCTTCAGTGGAGGGAGTTACCCTGGTTTACTCCTGTATGACTGATGCTAGGTTCTGGCCACAAATTCTTACTACGTGTTTCAGTAGGGGTGATGTGCAGTAGCAATCCTAATCTCCACACATCAGTTTTTACCTTGAAAAATCAGGTCAGGATTCAAGTTTGGGTCTGAGTCCTCCAAAAAAAAACCAACCCTCAGTGATGTGGCCCCCAAATGAGACACCTCACTCCTCTGGAGCTCCAGACATGGAAGGGACAGGGAGAACTGAGATTCAGGGCTTCCAATAGGCCAGATTTATTTTTCTGGGGTTCCGGAGTTAGTGGAGTTTGTGGTCTCTCTTCGATTCTGGGAGGGGGACAAAAATGAAGGGTACAGTATGCAGGACAAGGCTGCCAGCAAGTGCGATAGGGATGGGGGTACAGGATCTGGGTAGGAAGTAAGGTGCAGGAGGGGGGTGAAGGTGCAAGATTTGGGTGGAAGGTAAGGTGCAGAAGCAGGCTGGGAGTATGGTGTCTGGCCAGGGAGGAGGGAGCAAGAGCAAGGGAGGGTGCAATGTGTGGTGAGGAGCAATGGTGGAGGGTGCAGTGTGTGGCAGGAGCAATGGTGGATGCAGGAGTAGGGTGGGAGTAGATGTTTGGCCAGGAGGGAGGTGCAAGAGCAAGTGCGGGTGCAAGAGCAGGCTGGGGGTAGGGTGTCTGGCCACAAGCGAGGGTGCAGAGTGTGGCCAGGAGGGAGGGTGCAGGAGCAAGGGAAGGACTAGGAGCAACCTGGGGGTGTGGGGTCTTGGCAGGGGAAGGAGAGTGAGTGGTGGGGATTGGTGTGGGAGTCTGGGCATGCGGAAAGACACTTACCTGGCTTAACACCCTGTTGCATCAGGGAAAGCCTCTGGACAGCATGTCACTGCACTGCTGTTCCCCCAGCAGGATGAGGAGCGGGAGGGAGCTCAGCTCCCACCTGGCTAGCAATTAGCTCCTGGGCTCCCCACTCCCATAACTATTCAGTTCATTTATCCTACAAGAGATGTTGGCTCCCGGCGTCCCCCACAGCAGGACTCTCCAGGATGCTTCACAGGCTACAAGACTGCCAGGAACTGTGCAACATTGACACTAGGAGTCGTTATACAGGAATCTCTCACCTGGTGCAGAGAAGGAGCTGGCCCTGAGGTGGGATAGGGGAGTTGTTTAGGCAGGGATCCCCTGCTCAGTGCTGAGATGCAGCCACCTCTGGGGTGGAACTGTGTAAAAGCAGCACTGACTGCATAGTCGTTCAGTGAGCTTTTGATTGATGCTGACCTCAGATTCCTGATGTGATGCTAAAGGGGTTGATTATCTGTCTCTAGATGGGGGGGGGGGGGTCTAGTTTGTTAGAACTGGGGATTCAGGGAGGTCAAAAATGAAGGGGTCAAGTTGCAGGAGAGGGCTCTGGGCTTGGGCAGGGGGTTGAAGTGCAGGCTCTGGGGTGGGGCTGAGGATGAGGGTTTTGAAGTGCAGGAAGTATTTTAGGGCTGGAACAAGGGGCTAGGGTGTGAGGAGGTGCTGGGTGTGGGCTCCATGGGAGGGGACTCTGGGTGGGAGCAGAGAGTTGGAGTGTGGAAGGTGTTTGAGAGTGTAGGGTCCTGGAGCACAGTTCCCTCCCCTGAGTGATGGCTCCAACGCTCCCATTGGCCAGGAATTGTGACCAATGGGCGCTGCAGTGTACCATCTGCAGGAAAGAGGGTAGCATGCAGTTGGAGTCTCACTGCACCTAGGAGCTGCAGGGACCTGGCAGTCGTTTCCAGGAGCCACATGGAGCCAAGGCAGATAGGTAGCCTCTCTTAGCCCTGGGCCCTTGCTGTGCTGTCAACCAGACTCTTAACAGCGCAGTCATCAACTGGAAGTGCCAGGGTCCCTTTTTGACCAGGCTTTTTCATCAGCAACTGGGTGCCTAGCAACATTACATTCTGAGCATGTTGCAAAACGCTCTATGCCACTCATTAAGATGTTTTTATTTTTATTATGTTGACATAGCAGGAGAATTTAAATTGGCACAAGAAGCAGTGTTGTGTGCACACCAGCACTGTTTTGCTGATTATAACTGACTTTTGTCCACAGAATTGTGTAGTTTACACAAAGCTTAAGGCTACTTTCTGCAATAAAACAATAATGTGATGGGTTTAGACATGATCCCAGTAAAGGCAATGAGAATTATTTTGCAAACACCTACATGGGCCAAATTGCTTTTAATCTATAAGACTATTCACAGGAGGTAAAATTCATCCCGTTGCTGATGGGAAGTGGAACTGAAATGGTGTAGATGGCTGATTTTTACCAGCTTCATTTTTGTCTGAGTTCATTGTCCGTTATATTCTTAAACAAAATCTGTGAAACTAGTTTTGTCCTAGCAACTATTTTGCAACACTTTTTTAATTATAGCTACTAAGGGTCATTGCTGATGATTTTTATTATGCATTAAGAAGTGCGCCCAAAGTTGCACCTTTTTCCACTAAAGTAGTGTATGAAAACATTTGGGAAAAGAAGCAAAGGGCCATCCATAAGGCCAAGCAGAGACTGTCTTGTCCTAAATGAGAATTCCAACACAAGAATTAGTAGTGTAATGGCTGCATTCACTAGACCAATGATATTCTGCCTAGTCTGAAGATGGCATGAATTGCTGCTGGCTGTATTTTAAGGCAAACTAAGGTCAGCCAGTATATAATTACATCAGTGATATTTCCCTGTAGGCTTTTGATACTTTTACAAGATTGATGTGAAGATTTCACCCATAGTTTACAAGGCTTTAAATGGCCTTGCATCTTCATTTTTTTCCCCTGAGTTCATTATCTGTTATGTTACCAAGTATAATCTATGTTCTGTAATTGCTGCAAATGCCAGGGAGTAAATCACTGTTGGGTGGAGAAAAAATACATTTTCATTATGGTTTAAATAGTGACATTCTCATTCTCTCTCCTCACCCCTTATCTTCCCTTTCCCCCCCCCACAATCTCTGTGTGTTTCTGGATTTCTATGATTATGTTAATGTTGTCTGGCTTTTTATAATTAGCTGAAATTACCTGCTTTGCTTTCAATGTATTTGTTACATTTCAGGGATTGATGCCAAGTGCCTTGGGATGCATCTCCATAAATGTGTCAAATGACATTAATATTGTACTAGCTATAACTCAAATGATTTTCTCCCCTGGGGCTTCTTACATGGTTTCCTTATATATGCTACTATGTGTGCTAGGTAAAACAAACATAAGTGAAATGCTGAGAGAATGCATGAATTCATGTTAGACTAACCTCAGTAACGTATTTTGATTCATTTAGTGCCTACACTGAATTTTAGGGGATTAAGTGTGACTTGAATTGTGCAGGTCCAGTGCCCAGGGTGGAATTTCACCAAATATGCTTGCATGTGCCAGTAGGTTTTTGATATTACAGGCAGTCCGGGTTACGTACAAGATAGGGACTGTAGGTTTGTTCTTAAGTTGAATCTGTATGTAAGTCGGAACTGGCGTCAGCCGCTGCTGAAACTGATCAGTTTCAACCGCGGCTGAATCTGGATGCCAGTTCTGACTTACATACAGATTCAACTTAAGAAACCCAGGCGTCCCCAAGTCAGCTGCTGCTGAAACTGATCAGCAGCTGATTCCAGGAAGCCTGGGGCAGAGCAACTCTGCCTCGGGCTTCCTGTA